ATCGATGCTCAAACATGAATTAGCAGCCAAGTGTTTGATTAGCGGTATGGGAAATGTACATGGCTAACGGGCGTGAGTTTTGGCTGAGGATGATCAGTTACTAAGAAGACCGTCTTCACAAATTTTCAGCTCAAAAGGAGGAGCCTAGGTGGTACTTGCTTTTGCAAACTACCACACTGGACATAACTACAAATGTTGAAGCTCGGCTCAAAATAATGAATGGATTGAGCTGGCATTTGGTGGAGGATGGTTATTGGGCATAGGAAAGCACTGTAGAAAATGGATACTATTTGGACATGCCAAAGTGGTACTTCCTTCACAAACTGCTGCTCTGAACAGAATAGGAAAATGAATATTGTTGAGTTATTTTTGAACTAGGCAAGGATGGTTTTTGACATATTTGATGAAGATATGATCCAAACAGTTTATGAGATTTTTTTGGTAAATTTTGGAATGACAGAAATATAGGTTGCTTCACAACCTAGGGCAAAAACTGCCACATGGACATGACACATAGGCAAAACTGATGAGGTGGCGCCTAGTCATCACAACCAACCACAATCTACAAGGCTATGACCATCTATTTTGGTCGTTAACAACTAGAAATAAGGCAGTGGTCAGCCCTGTTTACTTTGTGACCATTTGGTGTAAGGAAATTACGACCTTTCTGACCAAAATGGTCGCAATGGTTTAGGGTTTGGAGCCCCCCAAAGAGCTTTTGACCAATTGGTCTCAAATAGTCATAGATCTATGACCAATTCTTCCAGGGTCACTGACAAAAGGTCACTAGTTGACATATTTCTTGTAGTGTGTATAAATTTAGGAAGTAGTATAAGATTTAGAGATACTTGACATCACAGGTTTATAGTTCTGGCGCTACTTGTTGGATTTATCTAGGTTATGTCCTAAATATCCATGATGCCCGACCACGCCAGTGTATCGGAGAATCGGCGACGAAAGACTATATATTCTCTGTTGTTCGTTTGTCATATTCGTATTTTAATGTAACAGATTGGAAGTGCATGGCCCACTATTTTTTTTTCTTGAGGAATTAGCTGAAGTGTATTGTTAAGAATGTCCTATACATTATTTTTCACCAAACAAAAACATATCTTATGTTCAATTATTAATTGATTATCAAAAGACGTTTGGGATGGTCAATTGCGGGAAGAACGCACCTTCCTGGCCTGAGCTGAGAGGTGTGAGAAGATGAGCAGCACAAATTACATAGCAGGGCAAAGCAATGGAAACTGCTTTTGGAGGCCGAGCTCGATGCAAACCTCCACATGTAAAATTCAAAATTCATGAAAATTCATATTTACATTTCAATAAATTCTGGAAATATATAGATATAGATGAAGGCAAAATCCACAAGTGTGTAAATTTTCAAGACAAAATAAGTTGAAATAAGAGTTTTGTAAAAATGATTCTAGGGATCTTTAACACATGATACCATTCATCCTCCCATACCATCATTTTTTTTCTTTTTTTAAGGTCGCATTTCAATGTATTTCATCCTGAAATTTTACACACATACACCTCACATCCTTGTTCTTAGGGAAAATATAGATTTTTTTGAAACCAAAAAATTTGGATTTTGAATCGTTCAAAAAGTCTGCCTCCATGGAGGCAGAGATCCAAAACGACCTACTCGGCAAAGGAAGCAACTTAATCAATCGCTAGAAATAAACATACCTTTCTGGCCTCACTCACCCCGACCTAAAAATATGAAGGAGATCCATTGTCGTAGATATGAACCAGCTTGATTGAGGAGGGTTCTTTCTGACGGTGTCCTGGACTAAAGGGTACTAACCTATACGACCTACAGTCCATGGGCTGAGCTTATGGCTCGCCGATCTCCACAAGGAAGGACTCCAGAATCTATGAATCTCGGTGCGGTCAAGATGGAAACCTCCGAAGACTTGGCGTGTACTTCAAGGATAGCTTGCTAACCGGCATGATTGGCAACTGACCATATGTGTAACCTAGGTGCCCCCAGTGTGTATATAAGCCGTGGGGTTTAGTCTTAGAAGCATGATTACCAGCCTTAGGCTTTAGAACACAATCATATGATCTCGAGGTAGGTCACCTTGTACTTGATACTCCATAGCAATAATATAATCAAGTAGGGCGTAGGGAGGCAGACTTAGGAAGATTCTCGGCCAAACCCAACAAAAACAAGTAAAATTTCATGTATAAATTTAGGAAGTTGTATAAGATTTAGAGATACTTGACATCACAGGTTTATAGTTCTGGCGCTACTTGTTGGATTTATCTAGGTTTTGTCCTAAATATCCATGATGCCCGACCACGCCAGTGTATCGGAGAATCGGCGACGGAAAACTATACATTCTTTGTTGTTCGTTTTTCATATTCGTATTTTAATGTAACAGATTGGAAGTGCATGGCCCACTATTTTTTTTCTTGAGGAATTAGTTAAAGTGTATTGTTAAGAATGTCCTATACATTATTTTGCACCAAACAAAAACATATCTTATGTTCAATTATTAATTGATCAAATTATCAAAAGACGTTTGGGATGGTCAATTACGGGAAGAACGCACCTTCCTGGCATGAGCTGAGAGGTGTGAGAAGATGAGCAGCACAAATTATATAGCAGGGCAAAGCAATGGAAATTGCTTTTGGAGGCCGAGCTCCACGCAAACCTCCAAATGTAAAATTCAAAATTCGTGAAAATTCATATTTACATTTAAAAAATTCTAGAAATATACAGAACTAGATGATGGCAAAATCCACAAGTGTGTAAATTTTCAAGACAAAATAAGTTGAAATAAGAGTTGTGTAAAAAACGATTCTAGGGATCTTTAACACATGATAGCATTCATCCTCCCAGACCATGATTTTTTCTTTTTTTTACAGGTCGCGTTTCAATGTATTTCATCCTTAAATTTTACACACATACACCTCACATCCTTGTTCACTTGTAGGAAAAAAAATAGATTTTTTTGAAACCAAAAAATTTGGATTTTGAATCTTTCAAAAAGTCTGCCTCCATGGAGGCCGAGATCCAAAACGCCCTACTCGGCAAAGGAAGCATCTTAATCAATCGCTAGAAAGAAACATACCTTTCTGGCCTCACTCACCCCAACCTAAAAATATGAAGGAGATCCATTGTCGTAGATATGAACCAGCTTGGTTGAGGAGGGTTCTTGGTGACGGTGTCCTGGACTAAAGGGTACTAACCTATACGACCCACAGTCCATGGGACGAGCTTATGGCTCGCCGATCTCCACAAGGAAGGACTCCATAATCTATGAATCTCGGTGTGGTCAAGATGGAAACCTCCGAAGACTTGGCGTGTACTTCAAGGATAGCTTGCTAACCGGCATGATTGGCAACTGACCATATGTGTAACCTAGGTGCCCTCGGTGTGTATATAAGCCGTGAGGTTTAGTCTTAGAAGCATGATTACCAACCTTAGGCTTTAGAACACAATCATACGATCTCGAGGTAGATCACCTTGTACTTGATACTCCATCGTAATAATATAATCAAGTAGGGCGTAGGGCGGCAGACTTAGGAAGATTTTCGGCAAACCCAACAAAAACAAGTAAAATTTCATGTATAAATTTAGGAAGTAGTATAAGATTTAGAGATACTTGACATCACAGGTTTATAGTTCTGGCGCTACTTGTTGGATTGATCTAGGTTTTGTCCTAACTATCCATGATGCCCGACCACGCCGGTGTATCGGAGAATCGGCGACAGAAAACTATATATTCTTTGTTGTTCGTTTGTCATATTCCTATTTTAATGTAACAGATTGGAAGTGCATGGCCCACTATTTTTTTCTTGAGGAATTGGATGACTTGTAATGTTAAGAAGCATTATTTTGCACCAAATAAAAATATATTTTGTGTTCAACTATTAGTTGATCAAAATACCAAAAGATGTTTTGAATGGTGGTATGATTGAGGGAAGAACACACTAGTAATAAGCTGCAACAGAACTGAGCAGAGAGGGTGAGAAGAAGAGCAGCACAAATTGCATAGCCGGGCAAACGAAGCAACTTAATCAATTGCTAAAATTGCAAAAGAAACACACGTTCCTGGCCTCACTCACCTCGACCTGAAAATCTGAAAATTGTATAAATGAACCATCTATGATTGAGGAGCCTTCTTGGTTGTAAAGAGATTTAAGCTCCAAATTAGCAACACTTTGTACCTGCCCTTTGAGACCGGTGTGTCACCCAACCCAAGATCATGTCTAAATGTAGTGGACCAGAGCAGAGTGAGGCCGCACCTACCGGCATCGAACACTTGACAGGGCTTGAAGAATGCCGGTAGAAATCGGGTTTCTGTGGTGCCACGGATCCAACAAGAACACTTGACAGGGCTTGAAGAATTGCCGGTAGAAGTCGGGTTTCTGTGGTGCCACGGATCCATGAAGACAAGCACACAATCTTCCTAAGCACACAATCTTCCTCGAGGAGTGCTTCCGACATGCACGAATCTGGTCGTGGACAAAATCCATGATTGAAACCTCTCCAAGGCTGGCTATAGAAGGGAGGAGCAAGCAGAGGAAGGAAGGAGAGGTCTTTGCGACGCTCCCTGCACTCCTATTTGATACACCAACCGAACCTGAGTGATGTTTCTCCGCTCTGTCGTGCTGCTGGCGTAAGAAAAACATTGTCCTACTAATGGATTTCAACATATAATCAGAACCACAACAGGCGGCTAACACAAGGACAAGCTCAACAGCGAAAAATCCAAGTCCGGCATAAATCGCAATGCCCAACAATTTAAATGTCGTCGGTACCACAGACAGACAGACTGATCCAGGAACACGGTTCCCCAAAGCTAGCTAGCTATGTGCATGTCTAGCAAAATTCGGTGACAACAGACAACAACTACATCCACAGTCAGGAGACACAATTACATCCACAAGTCATGAGTTATGTATATAGGTCTTCACCACATTGTCAACCAAGCCGCCTGAAATGTACCACCCACTTGACCGACCGACTCCCGGGCAACGGTTCATGACTGCGTCGTGGCCTCGGATTCCGACTCCACCCTCTCCCCGACTTGCTCCAGCAGAAGCTTCATGTACTCCTGAGAAAATCGGCAGCTTTCGTTACCAACTAATAGTGGAACAACAAAGCGGGAAGAATCCCCCTCATAACAAACTCGTGTACCCAGCGGACTACATATCACTCGTGTAATATAATCTCAAGTCTAGCATGGCTTATTTTAAAAACATAAGAGGTTGTAGGGAACATACATCAGCAAGCTCTGGGTCACTGGCAAGCTCTTCAAGCATGACCTCGATGCTCTCATCGTCGCCATAAGCCTGAGCAGCAGTCTCAAGGACAGCACCAAAGATTTCCTCAGGGGCGTCATGTTGCTCGATGCGTTGGCATGCTTCTTGAAGATCCATCTGTCCACAAAATACAAAATAATCAGCAGTGCAATACGTACAAGATTAAGGATTCCAGTATTTCACACTGACCAAAAAAATGGGTTTCACACATTCAGGCAACACAACTATTTCTTGTTCCCTAACATTAACATTTTTCAACTCTAAATTCATGGTTGGTGTCCAAGCATGGCATATCAACTTTAGTCTTTTTGTTAAACAGGATGGCGTACCTGAGAGCTTCTCCCACCTGCAGCGCCGCTTACTTCCCTGTCATTCTGTCGAGGCTGCACATCTGTACCAGCACGACGAGGTGAAGCTCCACCAAGAACTTGCGACACAACAGGCATCATCTGCTGCATCATACTGGACAAGTCAAAACCACCTTGGCCCCCCCTTTGTGGCACATCCACATTTTGCACCATACTGCTCAAGGTGTCCATCACTGCACGGTTCTGTGTCAGGTCTTCCATGATGTTCCTCACATCAGCTGGTGAATCCATCCCTGTCTGAGCAGCTACATTTGACATCAGATTGCCAAACATCGGGTTGTTGAGAACACTCGATAGCATACTGCCGAGGTCAACTTGCCCTTCACCACCCGGTCTTCTCAGAGGCATTCCAGCAGCAGACCGAGGAGTTGAAGATGGAGCTTGAGAAGCCGTAACACTGCCGCTGCTCGCATTAGCGCCTCTTGAAACAAGAGCTTGCAGAGCCTGCTGTCCCCTCAGAACAGCTTCCTGGCTTCTAGGGACAGAAGAGGTGTTAACGGCTTCCCCAGAATCGCTGCTAGTCCCAGATAGCTTTGTTGCTCTGCTACGTCTCTGCAAGTGTAGTTAACATAATCAATGACATTGTTCTCTCAAATAAAAATCTATGGCACTGCAGCTAACAACAACAAATTACAAGCACTAGGACAACATGCAGGAAATCATTGTTGACAAAAAAAATGCAAACTGAGCAATAAAGTTTGTGAGACTGTAGTAGGACTAAGAACCAGGAACATATTAGTATTACCTTGGGCTGCAGGCCACCACCAAGACCAAGTGGCCCAGACCCACCACTAGCAGCAGGTTTAGTAGACTCTCCGGTTTCTCCATCTGACGGCTTGCTCTTCAGTTCAGAATTTTCTGCCGGCATGCCCAAAGGAACATCACCTGTAAGTGTGCCTGTCATCTGTCCTCCTAAGCTGGCTGCTGCCGATTCCCCAGAGCGTTGTTGACTGCTATCAACATCGGAGACACTCACAGTACTGATGTCTTGTGGTGTCAAACTGGGACCGGATGTATTTGAAGGCACAGTGCCTAAATAGAGCAATAACAACAGAAACAGGAACGGTGAACGACTCGGTACAATTATGCCTAGAGGGGAAAGAATCCAGGTTACTTCAAAAAGAAATACCTGCACCAGTTGCATCAGACTGCACGTTCACTGAAGTTTGCCCATGATGAGAACCCGGCAGCTCATTTTGTGATTGTGTATTTCCTGATGTCACAGAGCTCACGGTGCCAGCTCCATTGTTTGTGGTTGGGGGGTGAGGCCCCTGGGCTGCTGGGTTCAGCACAGCTGATGTAAGTGAAGCCAATGCCTGCGGGTTTGCAGCCAGTGCATTGGCTACCTGTGCAGATATCTGTGCTATCATAGCAGAAACAGCACTGCCTGAAGAAGCTTGTGGAACAACATATGCCGAATTCGGTTGAGATCCGTTGCCCCCGGCAGTCTGAGAACCTTGAGGACCAGTTGACTGGTTAGGTGCTGCCACTTGGCTTCTCATTTGAACAGGAAGGATAACACCAACTGAGGACCTCCCTGGAAAGGCCGGAATAGCTGCAAGTCCTGTAACAACTGTTCGTGGTGGCAATCCACGTGTAGCCGACGGGTTGCCTCCTTGAGGTCTTTCTGCATTTTGGCTTTCCCCGTTGGCAGTGGTTGCAGAAGCAGTGGTTGAACCACCAGATGGACCACTTGTTGCAGAAGCACCTAGTATACAGGACAAAAAGAAGAGTCAGGGGAGATCAAAATGTGACAAGCACTCATTGCAACTTCAAAATTAAAGGTCCCTTATTTAATATATGAGACAAATCTTTTGCCTCCGTTTGAAAAAAAAATTAAGGTCACATTTCATCTTATACTATCTAATTGCTATCCAAGAGACACAAAATAGAACAGTAAACACGGAACACGGTATCTCAATGTGGTCCCATGCTGCATGTGCTCCCCCACCGAGTGCATCAAATGTCAAGAACACAAATGACATTTGGAAGCCAATTTAGATGCTATTTTGATGTTCTCAATGCGAGGGGGGGCGTAAACATAGATAATAATACACCATAAGAAGGTCACCTGTTTGCACATTAACCCACTTATATATTTAAAAAATCCATAAAGCAAAAAATCTAAATAGTGCTTGCACTGGGAGACCTTACCAGCATGAATATTGACACCATTTGCTCGAGAAGGATCAACAATACCAAATGGACCAGAGACACCAAAAACTGGCGGTATGCTAGAAACTCCAAAATGAGGGGCGCTCTGGAAAGACGGCTGCGCAATGAAATAACGTGTTATTGTTACTGGAGTTGCAGAACACATCAAAACCAACACCAAGAAGCATCACAATACATCACCTGAACCATGATTGGACTTGGTCCTGTAGGGGTTATATAAACAGCAGGCCCGGCATTTACAAAAGCATTAATCTGCAAAATCAACAAGCTTTCAGAATACTTAAACCATGTGAATCACTTGTGTGATAGTGAAATTTGTAGAAAAATGCATACAGGAGATGGTCCCATTCTAAGCGTCATCATTGTCCGTCCAAGCTCAAAAAGCATAGCCCCCAAATGCTGCATCGCTACTCCCAACTGTGCCGACTCATTCTGGATCTGGCTTCGCACAGATGTATCAGCAGTGGCAGCATCTCTCTGAATATGTTGTGCAAGATGCTGAAACAAAAATAAGGCGAATGCAGGTCACAAATAAGTCCACACAAAAGTTCACACTTGTCTCTTTGGTTGTCTAGAAATTATTTGAGAGAAACAGACACAAAACTGCATCATAGCAACTGCATAATCAGTTGCCAAAAAACAAATCATGAAATTCTAACACCAGAAAAAGCATCAACAGTCCTATGAGCGTTGTGTTAATAGAGTAAGGAAGGGCAAATTTCAAATGTTCAGTTTATATATAGATCTCCATAGCATTGTCTATAAAAGTACTCAAATGGTAACACTTGCTTAGAGAGCATTGGCTTGGAGACTACAATAGAAGGGAAAATAGTTATGAAATATACTATGTTACTATCTCTGTCAAAGGTCAACCATTGCAAAGGTCAGAAGCTCAGAATACAACTACAAGAGGGGAAAGTAACATACAGAAAGCGCAGAAGAAGCACTGCCGCCAAGAAGTTGTTGGGCCCTTTCAACAACTGACGCCAGCACCTCAGGACTTGGAAAGCTTTGGTTCAAGTAAGCATCATCTGTCGCTGATGTTGGTGGTTCCTGAGCATTTGAGTCCACGGATGGTGGAACGCCTTCATTTTCATATATCAAAAAAGAATTGCATATATATTAGTGCTATTGACAACCAACAAATAAACCAGCTGCAAAAAGAATTACCATACCATTGTTCTGCAATACTTGGTCCATGCGATTGATATACTCCAACAGGGTCGTCATGGAATCAGGAACAACCTATGATCAATGCTAAAGTTAGATGAATGAAAGACAGATGGCAAAAGATGAGGAAGAAAATGATAACAGTATATTAACCATGTTGCGAGGAATAGCGCCGGAAGGTGGAAGCTGTGACACATGAATTTGATGATTGAGAATTGAGAACCCAGGTGGTGCCTGGCCTGGCTGAGTTCTTCCATTATTGGCCCCATCTGGTGGGGGGTGGTTTAATGGCACCTAATTAAGCAACCACAGAGAAGTTAAACATTAATGTATATCAGCAACCCTGGATAGGCCTATTAAGGAAACCTCATTACCGAGAACGTAGCATTTGCCACACCACCAGGCATCCCAAGGAAGTTACCAAGAATATCCCGAACAGTCTGAACATAACAGAAGAGAGGAATTATACCAATGGGCAAGTGAAGCAAGCGATCATCTGACAGAAAAATTATACAGAATGCTAGAGCAAAGCATATACCGCAGGAATGTCATTTATCACCCCCTCGGAAACCATAACATCTATAGTTTCCTAGAAGAGAATAAATAACAACTATTTAAGAATTATAATCGATGTTCAACCATTGCTAAATGGTAGGCAGAGTAACAAATTTTCAAATAAAAAAGAAAATATAATCAATGTTAACCGTTACAAAAAAATGGTAGATGCATACCCTGGACATGTAATCTCCCAGCATTGCTCCATTTCCGGCACCACTAGCTGCAGCCACGACAAAAATGTAAAAGGTTCATAAGTCCCAGTCCCAGCATACTGTCATCCAATCATACTATGCTATACTAAAGATCATGATAAATGAATCGAATTCGGCAACAACCAATTACATCTGAAATGAGCAAAGGTACAGAAAATATAATCAGATAGCAGAAACGATCTGCACAAGCATATAACCGTCAACAGTGCCTCCGCAACACATATACCAGAGAACTAAAGCAACACATATACCAGAGGACTAATAGAGACCTCTTTCAGTTTAAATAGCCTGAAAACTCCCATATGGCTCTTTACATCCACAGCTAGCTAGAACTATTTTCAGCCCCCTTTTGTTAAAAAGTGTCCATTACGGAATGTGCAATGCATATACTGCAGTTTGTATGCAAATGGAGAACATGACATTTGGGAGGTTGATGCAGACTTAATTTTAGCTCCCATAATGCTGAAACAGGGTAAGGCACACCATGTATGTATACTAAATCATGACAGCATATCAAAAATAATTGTTGTGGTCAGGACTCAGGGTTGATAATATAGGCTTCAGAGCAACAGCATATCTGACTTACCATTAGCATTGGGGTTTGCTTCAGGAGTCTCAGAGGAATGTTGGCCCTCAGCTGTGCGTCGAGCCACCAAATGCAATGTATATCCATCTTCCAAATCTTTAGATTGTCAAGGATACATATATATGACAAGAGTTGTGACCAGGGAAATCAATACAATCCATGGATAAACGTGGCAGGAAAACAACTTAAAACGCATCCATCGAAGCGTCAGATGAACAGGTGTACGAATGGCAGGTCACAAGAAAAACAAAATTTTACAATGACAAACCATGCTGTGAATGATAGAAACCAATAATATAATCAATGACAACCTCCTATTATTCCACGTAATCTTCAGTATAATCTACAGTTCCGGCGGTTACTAGTGCAAACAACTCGACTTAATAAATGCATGCCAAAAGCTTGCAATGATATGAGGTTCTGGTTCGTATTTCTAAGCAACTTCAACACGACAAAAACTTCGGTATGACTCATCAAGGTAATAACTGATGTGGAGATACAGATGGTTCAATAATAAAACTTTGTAGCCTCGACAGGAAACGCAAAAACAAAAGGATACGGTATTCTGACAAGAGGTGGTCATCCTTTAAGACCCTTCCCCTAAAAATCAGCCGCTGCTGCTCCACGGGAATCCCGGCGACATCTACTATCTTCTCCTTTAGGTTCAGAACAGTCTCCTGAGGAAAACAAAATTGGCAGTTAGATAATCAGAAAACATTGCACATAATAATATCACTATAAACAGAACTACTTCAGAATACAGGGATTGACAATTAGCAGGGAGTTGAGCACAAACAGGACTATAGCATTGCTACCACTTCTAGGGTAGTTCAGGGCACCGACAGAACCGAACTAGAAAAGCTATGGCATGATTACATTCTTGTCGACGCGGAGCTTGTGCACTTGCGACTCCAGGGTTTTGATGTTGATCTCGATGGTGGCGGGTTCCGGGCCATCTGCGCCATCCCTCGCCGTCGAACTCCCGGCACCACTGGCACCGTCGTCAGCCATCCCTGCAGCCACAGAAAACCGATTAAGGATCACTCAGGCGCCATACAAAGTAAATACAGGGCATGTAAAATGGCAAGGCAGGGGTCGTCGCTCGCCCTGCTCGGAGTTCTCCCTAGGGTTACCAACTCCGCCCTTAGAACAAGATCCCCGCGGAGGAACCACCGGGGGAAAAATCGGGCCTTTTGCTTGCTCCGGCGGGGACCCGGAGGAACCGCCGCCCGGCATTTCGGGGCGCCGCCCGGGGGCGGATCTAGACGGCGTGCCGCCGCATGAAGTTCGTCTAGGGTTCGACTAATCGCACGGCGCGCGTACCTCAGAAACCGACGGCCAAGATCGCGGACGGCGGGGCGGGGGGTTCGACACAGCACGGCGGGAGGGGCGAGCGCGACGGCGCCAAACGGGGACGGCGGCGTGGGGGGCGGAGGGGGCGGAGGCGGCACGGCGGCGGGATTCAGAGGGGAGGGGAGAGGGGAGGAGGAGAGAAAAGGCGATGGATTTTGTTTTGACTCTGGCGACGAGTGTGAAGACTCGTCCTTGGGATGGTCTTCTGCCTTTGCCTTGCCTTGGGCGCCGCTCCTTCTAGAACACTCCAGGGGCTTCCCGGAGTGGCATTTTCTTGGGCAAAAAATAAGTCTTTTTTATGCATAACCTTGTAGAGTACCTGAATTTATATGGAAAATTAGGTCCATGACATTTTATTTATACATGAGTTTGTGAAAATAGGGTTATAATCTTTTTACAAACGATGATAGCGCGCCTTGTATGTCTTTCGGCCATGGCTGATGTTTGCTCCGGCTCTGGAGGCGGGGGCTGGTACGCTGTTTTTGTTTCTGGCGGTGCTTTTTCTCCGGAAGGTTATGGTTTGCGGTTGTGTGGAGTCGTTTCCTTTTCCTTTCTTCTATCTCCTAAATGATTAGATTGGTGGCAGACATGGACTAGAGGGGGAAGGAGGCGGCTGAGGTAGGGGAGAGGAGGAGCGAGGCTACACCATTGACGAATGGCATGGAAGGAAGGGTCATCGGATGGTTTGAGCTACCCGTCACGCCACCCCGAAGCAAGGTGGGGGTGGGGCGCGGTGATGGTGGATTCTTGTGCGTTAGTATGGGGACCATGCAGTAAGGCGGCTATATATAATGTTTAAGCGGCGATGGGGAGGTAGGGGGTCATAATGAGAAGGGGTTGGCGGGAAAGAGGTTGATCGAGGGTGGGTGAGGTCGCACGTAACATAGGCCAAGGTGGGGCATGCAATCCTCGAGGAGAGGAGAAATTTATACGAAAAAGGGGACCCTGGTTAGGTCCAAGTCCAATAGTCCACGCATATTATGTGCACAAGTTAAGAATCCATGGTCGCTTGTGAAACAAGTTGACTTTTTTGCGATGCCTCCTAAGAATTGCATCTGTCCAACTTTTCACAATAGTAGCAACATTCACTTTGTCGGTGCCAGCCATGGCCGGTCTTGGTCATCGACGGGATGCCCTGGCGGACACGTGGTACAGTGGCTTGCGTTGTTGTGACAGCTCGAGCAGTATCTTCCGCCACGTGTTAAAGTCATTCTCCACGTGTCCTTTAGGGATCTGGTTGCAATTTATTCTCCTTTGAAGGTCACGATGTAATACGAGCTGTATAAATCCAGTAACAAAAGGCAAAGGGGGCTACGGGCGCTCACAGTGATTAGCAACTCTCCGCCACCCGATTGGTTCCCTTGATGCGTTTCTGACCCTTGGATCTCGCTCCTAGACGATCTGGGCCGCTGGATGGAGCCCGTGACACTATTGCAATGAACAGTTTAGCTATCCACCGAAAATATCTCGTGCCACCGCTGTTATTCTCGTGATCTGTCAAGGGTATTTTCGTAATTTTGATATGAGGTATATAAGCCAACGCCCATGCGTTTCTCCCCAATCAGCTTCCTCTCCTCTTCCTGTTTAGCCGCCGCCACCACCGCCCCCTTCCCTTCCACCCTGGTCGTCGCCCCCTCCCCTTCCATTGTGGGCGTCGGCCCCCATCGCGCGACGGCGCGCCCGCTCTCCCGCCCCCTCTCCTCTGGTTGTCGTCCCGCACTGCATCACCTCCTGGTCACTCTATCTCATGCGATCCACTCTCTCTGTATTCCCCACTGCTGCCGCCACCACGGCCAACTCCGGCGAAATCCGTCGCTATCCAGCACATCCACGAGCTCATCTCGCGACGTTGCTCCTTCTCCACCGCGTTGACCCGACGCGCCGCTCCTCTACGCGCAGCCCCGGCTAACCCTAGCGCTACGGTCGCCGGTCCATGATCGTCGCTATCGACGCCGGCGCTACGCCTGCACCTCCGGTTGGTCCTTCCCAACCCCGTCCGAACCATCGCGCAATGCATCGCCTCCTGGTCGTTGTTCCAAGCGGCGGATGATGGGGTGCAGTTGTTTGAGGTCGTTTCCTTTCTCTTCTTCTCTCTCCTACATGATTAGAGCGGCGGCAAAATGAAGGAAAAGGAGGGAGGGGGCTCGGGTAGGTGTGGGAAGGAGGAGCGAGGCTACACCATCGACGAACATCGTGGAAGGAAGGGCCATCTGATGGTTTGAGCTACGCGTCAAGCCACCCTCGGAGAAGGATGAGTAGAATGATATTGATACGAGATGGGGGCGGGCGGTGATCGTGGATTCATGTGTACTAGTATGGGGCCGCGAAGTAAGGCGGCTATATATAATGCTTTGAGCAGCGATGGGGAGGTAGGGGGTCATAATGAGAAGGGGTTGGCGGGAGAGAGGTTGACTGAGGGTGGGTGATGGGTGGGGGAGGTTGCACCTAACATAGGCCAAGGATGGGGCGTGCAATTCTCGAGGAGAGGAGAAATTTATACCAAAAATGGGGACTCTGGTTAGGTCCAAAAGTCCACACATATTATGTGCACAAGTTAAGAATCCATGGTCGCTTGCGAAACAAGTTGGCCTTTTGTGATGCCCCTTAAGAATCGCATGTATCCAACTTTTCACAATAGTAACAACACTCACTTTGTCGGTGCCAGCCATGGCCGGTCTTGGTCATCGGCGGGATGCCCTGGCGGACACATGGTATGGTGGTTGGCACTATTGTGGCAGCTCGACCAGTATCTGGCGGACACGTGGTATGGTGGTTGGCGCTATTGTGGCAGCTCGACCAGTATCTTCCGCCACATGTCAAAGTCATTCTCCATGTGTAGCTCGACCAATATCTGGCGGACACGTGGTATGGTGGTTGGCGCTATTGTGGCAACTCGACCAGAATCTTCCGCCACATGTCAACGTCATTCGCCACGTGTCCTTTAAGGATCTGGTTGCAATTTATATTCCTTTGAAGGTCACCGATGTAATAGAAGCTGTATAAAGTGGTTTGTTGCAAAAAGGAAAACTTTCCACTGTTGTAAGATGTACTCTTCTTGGGTGTATTTTTTTTAATTCCTTCAAAATTGGCATGTTTAATAAAACTTGGCAACAACTGAATTTGATACTCTTTGCACAAAATAGCTATCAATCAAACATTGCAAAACGACGGTGAAATAGTTTCATATATATGCAACAAGTGTAACCACAGCAACATTTCACTCGAGGTTTCCTGAATCATTTTCATCAGCTGATCCTAAGCTAGAACTATGAATTCATCCCTATAAGATCATCCAAGAAACATAATGTCGGTGCGCAACTGGATCACGCGGAGCTGCTCCAGCAGCAACAGCAGCATACACAGAGACCAAAAATAGGCATTTGGCAACCGCAGCATCAGTAATGCCACTTGGGTCTCAGCTCCTCTTCTACCTCGGTCAGCTCCTGGTATCGGTACCACTGCGATGCCGCTTTACCGACGGGCAGTGGGGCGCGGACAAAGACCTCGACTGGTTTGGGTACATGTACTCTTAAATGCAACTCGCCACTGCCGCCGCCTTCTTCCTCGACGCAGCTATCAGGGTCGCTAGATGGCACACCAAGTGGTTCGACCGCGATCCACCCGAGTCCAGATATCGCAATGTCACTAGCAGGCCTGCACAGGAAAGAAGGTGCCAATAAATCATTCAGGGTGTAAAATATTAAAATAAACAAAAATGCTCCTATACGGAGACTGTTATATACCCTGGTACTGGCCAACAAATGACCGCTGCAAAGCTAAGACCCAAATTTTAGTTGCAAACATTACCTATCAAGCTCTTCATACTTTATCTGCAATTCGCGAACGCCCTGAAGCCCACACCATCCTTCAGCTCTCTCCTGGCCGGTTGGGGGAGTCAATGTAACTCCGACTTCTCTCTGGAAAGTGAGAAGGAAAGGACAACAGGCTCAATTTTGTTTGAAATGAAAGCACACATTAGCAAAACAAAGATGGCACAGCAGCAAAAGCTAGTTTTCAGCAGATGAGGTTACATGCGGTGGGGCTCTTTCTTTGAGACGAATAAAGCTTAAATAAAGAAATAACTCCATTTCACAAATGCAGTGAAGTTTTGTAAATAAATTTTGAAAGAAGAAATACATTATTACTTCTAAGTAGAAGTCAAACTCGTGGAACAGCCACATACCTTGTAAAATTCATCTGCTTCTGTGGTGGGGACCATATTAATACTTAGCTTCTTTGGTCCATAGAATGTTAGCCGTGTGCGTGGAAGAGCCTGGCGATTTATTGGTTATCACTTAGTGGCTGCTAATTTTACAAGTGACATTGAGAAAGATGGAAAAATATGAATACTGAAATTTTGAGAGCATTTAGGTACCTTAACAACATCGACACGGACAAGTCCCCCCCAGAACAACGTATTCCCGCTCAATCCAACATCTGTATCATTAGCCTGAACATAACATTATGGTCTGAAGGAAGAGATTAGTGCGGAAATTTTGAGACAGTAACATGGATTTTACAGATCAGGGTATACATACAGGAAAACATCGCCCCTTTAGGCGACTTTGTGGTGCAAGAGAAGGCAGATCATCAGCGTGGATAACTGCTGCCTGTCTATGGTGAAGATGGACTCCAGGTGTGTCGTATAATTTCTGTCATGCATAGATTAAGCTATATTAAGGTCCAAACTGGATACCAAAGGAGAATACAAAATATAGGCACTTATCCGTGTCATTTAAATGTACATTTTAGAACATGTTAAATATATATATATATATATATATATATATATATATATATATATATATATATATATTATGGATGGAGATTTAAGGCATCTAATTATCTAATTCTCTAGGTGAGCAGCATTTTGTTTAGCATGCAAGCAGGGTGCAGGAGAGATTATATTGGATTCTCTGACAGCTACATCAAACCAATAATGATGATACACTAGGTTCACATGTAAAGTAGTATACATATCTGAAGTTGAAAACAAGTAGAAGCATACCCCTCCGCCTAAAAATGCTTCGATCTGAATAGGACCTAAGGTTGTTCCAGGAACAGCAGATTGTATTGGCTTGTATTTTTGAGCTGCAGCTGCCACTGGGTCTTTATATGCCATTGTTTCTACAACAGCAATCTCCAACTATTAGCACGATGAAGATATGAATGAACAAAAAAAAAAAGATCGCATAATCACAAAAAGGGTGGTAGAAGAATTTAAGGCCCTACTTAGCATAGCACTAATAAATGCAGATTTCCCAACATTTGCTGAACCCTGCAACAATGTATGAACGCATCAGATTGTCAGATATAACTACAGTAGGCAATAGGCAGGCATGTCTGTTCGGATTGTCTTTATTGTAATCATTCAATGTGCATAATGAAAAAGCAAATGAGATAAATATGGTCATCACCCTACTTTCTTATTTATTTGGCGAGGACAATAAGACCTTCAAACATGCAAAGGACGATGACATGATTTTGGATCTTCCTTACATACTTATTATTTTTGACAATTGGCAGGCATGAATTGCGTTCTGATGTAAAACAGGACAGCACAATGTGATATTTATGACTCAGTCGTAATAGGCGAATAATGCTTACCAGTATATACACATCTCGGGCCTGATAAGAGACAATGAAAATGTAGTCAGTATTGTGCATGAGAAGTCGACAGCCAACAATAATAGGTAGACAGTAAGTGGATAACAAGCCGACCTTCTTTTCCTGCTGAATCTCTGATATAACACCAGTGATGCCGACCAATGACTTTGAGCTTGTCAAATGGACGCTAAGGACACTACGCACACAAAG